ATAGCGGTAATGATAAAATAAATATGTTTAACGCTAAACACATTACGTTCGTCTCAAGATCACATGAAATATGGGAATGAACGAAAAATAATCGATCAGAAAAAATGTAATTATCAACGGTAGATATCTCCTTAATAAAAAACAACTAAAACTAACTATAAACACACATTCGTCACACACCAATAAACAACTTATATACAGTATATATATATATATATATATATAAACACCTATTACGCATGATCGAACTGGTCCTGCGCGACATCGCATGTCGCGCAGCTATCATTATTATTTAACAACAGAACTTAAATGATGCTTGTTATTCATATATAAAGTAATTTAAATCTGCATAATAATTTAATAATTATTCATAATTTGTTCTTAAGCATAAAAATTCCCCCAAAAATGGAAAAGACAAAATAAATCTAAATCATTGATATCATAAGTAGGTTCGTGTAACATGATCGGTAAGTCCGGATATAATAGTTGTCTTTCATAATTATATAAGATGCATTCGTTGGATTCTGGTTGCGGCTGCTCATAAGTAGAAGAGTTGGAGCTTTCTTTATTAATATGAATTGGAGAAATAACGTTTGTTTGAAATGCGGTCTTATTAGGTTTACGGCCACGTTTATCCCACTTTACTCGCACACACATAAGATTTCGTTTGGCACAATATTTACATTGAATTCCTTCATTATCACACTTATGCTTTTTTTTCTTGCAGTTTTCACATGCCCTCCCGGAGATATACTTCTTCCTACGAACACTAGTCATCTCTGTCAAATTTACAAAAATTACTGCGAATAATAAGTTGCAAAAGTTTCTGATATAATTAAAACGTATCTAGCTAGACTTAAAAAGAAAGGGAAGCCAACTTTAAGACAATTTCGAGATTCTCTAGATTATTTTATCGGAAAATTTAGAAAATTTGTAGTAATTGTTAGAGATATTTAACATATCCAAGTTGTGAAAGGTGCAAAAATTAGGCTTTTTATATTTGTTCAGCCAATAGAACTGAAGTATTAACAAAGAAAAATAAAGCTTTGAATTCCTAATTTGCGTGTTTTCTATTCGTACACCAAAGTCTTCGGCTCGTAATCTCCTGCAAAGCATTAGTTCACGTCAAATGACACATGTTAATTATAATTTGACACTAAGTCTATTGGTTATTTAATGGCAGTCTCGAACCACAGCCACAAAAAAGAAATGATGATTTTGAATTCATATAACACTATATTCCATGATACAATTTTCTAATTATAGAAATTATTTGTAATATTTTTTATAAATACAAAAATATAGTAATAAAATCTTGCTTGGCGTGTTAACTGTGTTATTAGTTTATGTAATACTTATTAAAACTAAGTCTTTCAAATACGTTAGTTTTGGAAAAACTAATAACTTAATAAAAATTTATCGAAATGCCACAATAGTTTGCTCGAAAACAAACAATTTTGGAACTTTGATAAACAAATTTAAATATTGCCGAATCAACTAAACGATGAAGTCTTGAAGTATAGAAAATGCAATTGGTTCTTATCAAAGACGAATCAATAGTAAACAAAAGATGCTTAATCTTTGTTTTTATCAATTATTTCCCTTTTTAATAGATGATTTAACTCTCGGACTGCGTATGCCGATAATAAGAAATAAACTTTGAATCAATAGCCGAGGGCATGCATTTCAGGTGAATTGTTCCGTATGTATTGCAGATCTTTACTAAATTAGCTGCGTTAAAGTCAAAGAATTCAATCAGGATAAAAAGAAACACGCTTTATTTGAAAATTTCTGCCTTAATACCCATTTTTTTTTATTAAATTTTTTAAATAACAAACTCAAACCTTATCTATATGCATGTGAAGTTTATTTTAAATAGAGATTGTCTCCGCACTAGCAATTATTATTGAATTTTTAAATCATACGTACAGTAATGTTGGTATTTGACTTTTTAAGAAATACTTGCTGTGGTTTTATATGAATTCCCTAAAATGGATATTTTAATTCCATATTTATTACTAGCCATGAACTTCACAAGCCGCAGCTAAATCTTCCAGAATAAATCATTAAATTGTCACGGTAATTCTCGATTTGATTGGCTGTACTACATATGACGATCCTTGATATTTTTTATATTTTATAGCGACTGATATCAATTAAATTTGTCTTTATTTTATCGCTATTTGCAAATTGATTTATTTTTTGATAAAATTGGTAGATCACTGCATGCGATTGCAATCGATTTTATGTGATTGTTGCGATTTCTCAGAAACCATCTAATAAAATTCGATAATTTTTTTTTATTTGTATTCTATGAATCTATTGGGTTCAATTTAAAAAAAAATTCATTAAATTTAATCAGGCGGTTGCTGAAATATCATCTCTCGAAGTTTTTTAAAAGCTGCGCCAAATTTTCTTAAAGAATATTCAAGCAACCACGTGATCAAATTC